GGAAAGTGGAGGGGGGCCATACAACACAAACTCCTAATATCAGTAATAAGGGAGGAATATCCCTAGACAAGCTTCAACATTAAAGTAATAATGAGACATTAAAAACAACATTAGGCCAATAATTTCAACAATTTAGATGAAGTGAACAAAGTTTTTGAAAAAAATACAACTTATCAAACTGACACAAGATGAAAAGGAAAACATTGATAGTCTAAGACATATAACTTTCTCACTTCTAGGTTCCAAGCCCTCTACTCCATCCTGCCATCACTGCTGGACTCATTTTGATCCCCATTTTCACAACTTGCACAATTCTGTTCACGAACATACCCCCTGCCTCTTTTTTATGCCAATCTTCTATCACCCTGCAGCATATTCCTGAATTCTAAGCAAGGTACCATCTCTCAGATATGCAAATCTGCTACAACTCATACCTTCTTTCACATGTCCCTTGGCATCAATGCCATTCTATTCCTGGCCAAATCTTGCCAGTGCTTCAGAGTCCACCTGGATCTAATCCCCTGTAGGAAGTTTTCATTTTTGAGGCTATTCCCAGCCCTCAGGGTCTCTCTTCTAGGAATTCCATGGCAACACATCACTATCATTGTTTTTGAGGGAGGACTTTGTTGTCCTGCATATTTGTCTTATTTTTCTAACTAAATTATTAGCTCTTTAAAGATAATGATTTTTTAAAAAGTTCTCTGTCCCTTAAAGCACATATTAAGCATTCAATAAATATTTGTAAAATATTTGCAAAAAACTGTTGAATGGATATATAAAGTCAAGATCCTATTTCTGTGGCTCTTGTCAGACTCTCATACCATCTGTAAGGCTTTCTCCAACAACTAGCCAAAAAACATATGATTAAAATAAGTAGAGGTAAAGGGAGGGAGAAGTAGTGAGTGACCAAAGTATAAGAAGAGATGGGGATGCTTGGTTTCAGCAAGCATAATAAATAAAATGGGGCTGAGTTTCACATCCTGCTGCCACCAGTATCTGATAGGCATGCACTGATACCATCAACTCATTTTCTCCTTGTCTTCGCCCCACCCTGAATCCTTGTGGGCACAGAATGAACCACAAGGGTTCCAGACAGCTTATACTTCCAAGCACATTTGTACGTGACATTCATTATGTACCCACATGTGTTTGGATAACAAGAGATATAACAATATCTTCTAAAAACCAGTTACCAAATACTGCTGGTCTCTTACCACTACATATAAACTATCTCAAACTGTAAATGTCTTTACTGTAACCAAGTACTAGCAAAATGGTGCCTACAAACCTATCTTTTAATCTTTCACAAAATAATTTTGCATTATACTAAAATTAACAATAGCTTTTATGAATACAGATAATTCTGAGTAAAAATACATTTTCTGTGGGGTTAGGTAAAGAAATTCCTATAAGCACAAATTCTCTCCAGTTCTCTCACACTGGTCACTTCCTAGTAGCATCTCTTTCATTTAAATCAAAATAGCTTATATCATCTTCATTTCCCCTTCTCTCTAATTAGATAAATCTGGTTGCTCTTCTCTGTAGACAGATTAAAAGGTTGGGGTGAGGGCTGGGGTTGTGGCTTAGCGGCAGAGAGCTTGCCTAGCATGTGTGAGGCACTGGCTTTGATTCTCAGCACCAAATGTAGATAAATAAAATAAATAAAATAAAATAAAATCAGCAACTAATAAAAATATTTTTTAAGAAAGGTTAGGGTGTGTTGTTTTCCTAGTATTTCAGAGTCCAATCCTCAGAGCAATGACAACAGGAAGGGTGGGGTGGTTTAGAGGAGGCAGGCTCCAGGGGAACCTATCTCAAGGAAAGACAGCATACACTATAAGAGACAGTGGGCTGCTCCAGCTGTTTCCAGCGCATGACATCGACCCAGGGTCTTGCAAACAACCCACTCCTTACCCAGATTGGAGGAGGCGCGCCCCTCTGCTGCCCGATCCTTGAGGTCCTCAGCTATGCCCAGCTGCTGCTCGTGGTACTGTTTCGCTCTTTCCAAATCCTGCATGCACCTGGCGGCGTGGCCCAGGCCTGCGTAGGCCCGCATCTCGATGGCCTTCTCCATCAGCTCCTGCGCCAGCTCCAGCACGTAGTTGTGGTAGGACATGGCCTTGTCGAAGTTCCTGCGGTAATGGTAGGCGCTGCCCAGATTGCTGTAGGCCCGGGCCTCTTCCCGCTTGTTCCCCAGCTCCTTGGCTATCTTCAGGTGCTGCTCGTGGCACTGCACGGCATTCTCAAAGTCGCCCATGGCAATATACACAGCTCCCATGTTGCCAAGTTCTCGGGCTTCGGAAAGCTCGTCTTTGGACTGCTTGGCGAGAAGAACACACTGTTTGTGACTGGCCAGTGCATTGGGGTAGTCTCCGATGGCTGTATACACATGGCCCAGACTGCTCAGGGCTGACGAAGCTGCCTGGAGAGAAAGGATAAGGCAGAGAAATGAAAGCACATCTGAAAATGGCTTTGGTTTGTTTCAGCAGATAAAATTTCACAGAGTTTGCCTGTAACTATCAATTCAGTCCCTAATGGAGTTTCTATCAGTAGACCACAGACCTCCAGAGAACTGATAAAGAGCACATCCAACACCAAGTTCCTAGCAGAAGACAATGGTAATTTAATCAGGAGCTTTCCATGCCTAATCTCACAGAAGCAGGTTGTGTTCCATATGACCTTTGTCTTAGTTTAAAGACTTGGTGACATTTCTAATATTCACTATGATATTACAGCTCTGTTAATACCCATTAACCTCTGTGCTATAAGAAAGTGTTGAAGAAAACCAAAATTAATTACTACATATGACAGAGTGTAGGACATTCACAGGAGAAGCCTGGGCTTGGCTTGTGGCCCTCCTGGGTGATTCTGTACTCTGGTTTTCTGCGAAGCAAATGGATGCATTAGTGGTGAAGGAGATGTTCACCATGAGGACTGAGAATTTTGCAAACCAGGACCCACTTGAAGGTCCTGATTTCTCATCTTGTTCCTTCAAAGTGACTTTATCGGTGCTGGTTACTGTGGAGGGCTTAGATTTGGATGAGTCTCCTTGTAAATCAATGGCTGTGTTCCAACCTGTGCCTCTGAATGGGGTGGTCTCCATTTATCCTTCATGAAGCCTCCCTGCCCTCCTTAGGCTCATCGCCCAAAGAAAAGCACAGAAACCCTTTTGGTCTTAAAGGTTTCAATGAAAATAACTCTGTGTCAGTGTAGCGGATCACACAGGAACTATGAAAATATCACAGGAGAGGTACACAAGCACATACAGTCCTAGAGCCTGGTCTTCAGTTTCTAACTCCTTTGCAGAGGTATGACAGGGAAGTAAGTCCTTCTTTTCATTCCACAAGTTGGAAGCTTCCTCCCCTCCCCTCCTTCACTGTCTGTCTACAGCTTAGGGCCATGTCACCCCCTCTCTTCATGATGCTTCCCTCTGAAGCATGGAAACCAGACCCTGGCGGAACAAAGGCTGAACTCTCACACATGGGCAAGAAATCTTCCCCAGGGCCCCAGGCACAGGACTAGCCATGAGGTAATGCTGTCCCTGCTGAGTAAGGGCATTTCTTTGTGGGAAGGGTTCTATGTTTGTGCACTTCAGGACACTTTTATTAATATTTTATAGATATGAGTGATTTGCTGCCCTGTTTCCTTTGCTTGTGAAATAGCAGTTCTTGATCAAAATGAGAGACACCATTTTTATGGGGCTTGCAAATACTATATTTGCAAAATGTTCCATATTGTTCTAAGTTGCTTTTATCATTTCACAGATGTTCCAACAAAAAGATTTAGAAAATAGAGAGGAAATACATCCTTAGAAATTTACTTTTTTTGCTTTCTTCTGAGTGGAGAGAACAGAAACAGCTCCACGAGAGTCATAATGCGGCAGCGCTGTGATCTGGCAGAAGCAGCACTGGTGACATCAAATGGCATGCCACTTGGACCACACTGGCCTCGGGTTCCCACGGGAGAGCCCTTGGGGCTGAGCTTAGGACTTCGGGTCAGCAGTCTAGACAGGCGGCTGCTGCTCCCGGCCTTTCCCCTGCACCACCCACTCACCCACCCGACCATCTTCTCTTCCTGTGCTTTAGGCCCAGGACTCGGCCTCTTCCCTCTGCTTCAGTGGTTAGCTCTCCCAGCCTTATTCTCCCCAAACCCTCCCACCCTCAGCCCTTTGTCACCCTCACAGTAAAACACCAGGGCTCTTTTGTAGGAGCGGGCGGCGCACAGTCACACCCTGGTTCAGAGCTGCGCCGCCCTCCCCTGGCTGGAGCCACTTAACATCGCTAGGCCCAGCCACGAGCCAGGAGCCTCTGTCAAACGCACAAACCATAAATAATTCACTAGATGGCTCCCACAGTAGCTCGTGGAGGCAGTGAGCCGGGGGCGCCGGGATGGGTTACAGGCCCCGGGCGGCTCCACACCCGGCGGGCATCGCCATTCTCAGGAACTTCTGGTTTATGGCACTCCAAACGACGGCCCGGGGAGCCTCTACTCTGGTCCTTCATTTCTCCAATGCCAGGGAGACACAGCACTCGCTTAGGGGAGCTCTCCGAACATAAGGACAGGGAATTCTGGGGCATCTCCCTTCTAGGGAGGGGAGAGGAGGGAAGGACCAGCCAAGAGCTCTTTCCTGATGCTGCCAGGCGGGTGTCCTGCAAACCAGCATCGCTACCAAGGACCATGGAACTGAGGAAGCATACACCACAGCCCCTGAGACCAGAGGGGCAGCTTGGCACAGGGGAGGAGTGGATAGGATTTGGTGTCAAGGCCCTGGCTGTGACACCCTAATAAGTCATTTTAACCTATTTAACTTGCTTTCTTTATTTATAACATGGCACTTGATGACAATACTGTCCATACTCCACAGGGCTGGGAGGGGATCAGATGAGGCTGGGAGCCCGAGTGCTCTGTGAAGGCGTTGCTAAGGGGTGCACGGTGTCTTATGAAGGCACGCTGCCTGGGCTGGGCTCTGTTACCTGAAAACACCAGTCACTGTGACCAAACATCTATATTCCTATCAGTCGCCACAGGAAATGAAGTCCAGGTTTTACAGCTCAGGGCAAATAACATGTGATGGTATTTATCAGCTAAGTGAATTACAAATTAATCACTTGTCTTTGTTCCTGTTGCTGTAGAATAAGTGTAGATCTGAAACATGGTTTCAGGCTGTTAATGAGGATCTGAAGACCCACTATCGATAGGGAATCACGGGCCCCACCTCAAGCAGATGCTGCATTTGCCACCAAGGTTCACGCTGCCTTTGTATATTAATCTCTCTGAGATTTTTGTGCTAGAATAGCAGCAGCTGCTTCCCACAGTGGAAACATTTTGGAACATCTGTATTTGAATACTAAAATGCATACAAACAGTTATGCTAACAAACTATCTGGCTGGAGTAAGACAATGGCTTTCTCTTTGTACAGACAGAAATTACTCATGCTCCTGCCTAAGCTCCATTTCCAGCTGCAGACTGAACACAGAGGAGTCAGGAGCCCCTCGCTCTGTGACCTCAATATTTGAGATGAACTGCATCTGACAAGTTAGTTTCACGGGACCTGAATCTAGAGCCGGAAATTTGCTCATATTTCATCCATCCACCTTTAAGGGGTTTTAGTTGGAGAAATAAAGTTCAAACTGCCCCAAACTATAACCACATTGATGGCACTACCATTAACCATCGTCTGAAGATTTAAACATGTTTTTCTTTCCTCTTAGCATGTTTTCCCCTGTACAATATATATATTTTTTATTAAAGTTTTATTGTGTGGGAGATTAAATGCACAGTAGTATTATATGGAAAATAATCAGTATAATTGCTGATTGACTTAATTGCATGTAGTTGGAAAAATGGGAAATGTTCTGGCTGCTAGTACTAGAAATATTTTTTTCATTTTTACTCTCCAAATCCACATGCACCATGCATGTAGACAGAGGGACACAGAAACTCAGGGATACTCTGGAATCAAGCATGCAAAGGCTCAAATAGCACAATGTGTGATAAGGCACATCATGTAGCATCTCTGAGCCTTGGTTTCCTCATCTGTAAAATAGGAATATTAATATTAGAGGCTTGATAGGCTTAAAATAAATCAGTATTTGTAAAGAGCCTCATTCATGGCTTATTATGTAGAAGATGATCAAATATTTTAGTTTTGAGTTTCTCTTCTTACTCCAACCAAAATAATACCCACTTAGCTTTGTTCATTTCAGAGATGTGGTAGAAGATGATCAGGAAATAGAACATGAAGTTCTGTTACCACAACTAAAAAGACCACCCATGGTGGGAAAGTCATCACCTTCATATACGAAGGCTGGCATGCCTTCAATTAGTCTTCTGCAATCATATTCATGAGAAAATTCACCCCTTGCTTAGGGACATCTTAGGATCATTTGCACATCCAACACATGGTCTTAGTAAACACTTTATTTCAAGTGGTTTAAGCTCTGGAGCATTTGGAGCTGGTTGGTTGGGACATCTGTTCATTCATTCATTCACACAGTCAAGAAAATTCTCTATACCCACACAAATATCATGAACTAATTTTGTCGAAGGAACAGAGGTAATTCCACAGAGAAGAATATGTTTCAAGAAATGGTACTGGAGCAACTAAATCTCACATGCCAAGAAAAGATTCTATATACAGGCCTCATACCATTCACAAACATTAACTTGAAATGGGTCACAGACCCACATATAAAATGCAGAATTATAAAACTTTGAGAAGATAACGAGAGAAAATCTAGGTGACCTCTGATTATTAGATATAACATGAAAGAAAAAAAATTAGTAAGTTAAACTTTATAAAATTAAAACCTTATGCTCTGCAAAAGACACTGTTAAGGGTCTGGGGTTGTGACTTAGTGGCAGAGTGCTCGCCTAGCACATTCGAGGCCCTGGGTTCAATCCTCAGCACCACATAAAAATAAATAAGTAAAATAAAGATATTGAAAAAAAAGACATTGTTAAGAGAATGAAAAGACAAACTGCAAGCTGAGAAAATATTTGCAAAACACACATCTGATAGAAAAACTTGTATCCAAATATAAAAACTAAACAATAAGGAATGACTCGATAAAAAAGGGAAAAAGATCTGAAGAAGCTCCTCTCAGAGAAGAAATGTAGATGGCGAGGAAGCAAGCGAGAAGACCCTCAACATCCCTGACCTCAGGGAGCTGGAAAGCAAAACAGCAATGAGAGGCCACTGTGTATCCCACAGCAAAACACAGTGACAATGCCAAACACTGGCGAGGATGCAGAGCCACCGAGATCCTCACCTATTGCTGGAAGGAATGAAAATGGTACAATCACTCCAGAAGATAGCTGGGCAATTTCTTCTAAGACCAAGTATAGTCTCACCATGGGATTCGGCAATCCTGCTCCCAATCAAGGTGAACATGTTTGTCCACACACAAACCTGAACACAA